ATTTCCTTTCGCATGTATCACAAATACGCAAACTGTCAAGCGAAATATGATTAATATATTTCTTGGTTTTATTTATTTATTCATTATGCAGGAATAAACCAGGTTCCAATAAGCTTTTAAAAGTACCATCTACATCATATATAAAACATCTGCACAGTGTTTGTGTCCAACCTTTATTGAATTTGTTTTTAACTTTCTTGCACGAAATGAATATTGTATATTTGTTTGTTGTTAAACGCCATACTCAGCAATGTTACAGCTATATGACAGCGGTCTGTAAATAATCAAGTCTGAACCAGACAATCCAGTGATTGACATCATGAGCATCGATCCAAGCAATTGGGATACGATGACATGCATCAACCAAGTCAGCGAGCCTGACCACCCGATCCCGTTAGCCGCCTCTTACAACAAGCTTAGTCACCTTTTATGGCAAGCATGGGTTCCTGAAGACCTGTTCTACCCCGGATCTTCACGGGTCTCATTAATGTCTAAAATACCACCGAAATACCACCGATACCTACCTAGTAACTTTAACGTATGTCGATAGTATATCAGTAAAGTTGGTGACTGCTTCGCCTACAGATGGACAGTGTGGATCGTTTCTCCTAAAATAAGCCACTGGGATAAGTAATTGGGATACGATGACATGCATCAACCAAGTCAGCGAGCCTGACCACCCGATCTTGTTCGTCGCATCTTACGACAGGCGAGGTCGCCTTTTTCCGCCAAGGATGGGTTCCTGAAGACCTATTCTACCCCGGATCTTCACGGGATACGATGACATGCATCAACCAAGTCAGCGAGCCTGACCAACCGATCCCGTTCGTCGCATCTTACGACAGGCGAGGTCGCCTTTTTCCGCCAAGGATGGGTTGCTGAAGACCTATTCTATCCCGGATCTTCATGGGTCTCATTAATGTCTAAAATACCACCGATACCTACCTAATAACTTTAACGTATGTCGATAGTATATCAGTAAAGTTGGTGACTGCTTCGCAAACAGACGGACAGTGTGGATCGTTTCCCCTAAAATAAGCCACTGGGATAAGCAATTAAGCAATTGGAATACGATGACATGCATCAACCAAGTCAGCGAGCCTGACCACCCGATCTTGTTCGTTGCCTCTTACGACAGGCGAGGTCGCCTTTCTACGTCAAGCATGGGTTGCTGAAGAACTATTCTGACCCTGATCTTCACGCGTGAAATGAATATTGAGCTTAGTTACAAAGAAGTACGTGTAGGTCAAATCATGCACATCCAAAACTATGGGGACGGTCGGTATATTCAGTGTCATCATAGTACGTTACATGGTTTTTCTTTATCATTTTCAAAAGTTTTTACCAATATTTTATCATCTTGTACAAAGGACACCTACCACATTCCCTGTAAAGAATGCAATTTTGGATTTGTAAAACCAAAATTATGAAACGATTTACACGCTAGCATTTCTAGACAAAATAAATCATTTAGTAATGTGATTTTGCACGATAGATCAATAGCAAATCAATAACAGATATTTCTTGTGATTGTGGAAAGGGATTTGTTGCTTTGAGTTATCCAAAACAATGGGGAAAAGGTTAAATTTTGTTCTTTAGACAAACATGTGGTATATCCAATGTCATCAAAGTGACAAAGCATTTTCTATGATTTTCTTGGTAGGCGTTGTTAGGGTATTTCAAAAGTTTTTACTGATACTTCATACATCTTAAGTGTTCATTTAATGTATGGTTTAAGGTGCAACAAGCTATTCATATTCATTTTCAACTACGATTCGGCACGCGGGGTGAGTGAGTGAGTGAGGGGTTATGTGGATTATTTTATTTTAAAACTAAAATTAAAAACGTTAAACCAAAACCAAATGTTATTGCTTGTTTTTTGCAAGAAATAAAGAATGCTCTCGAATGACTTTTTGTTGGAACGCTCTTCATGTGGACTGTCACTCGTTACCGTAATTACATAGAGTTTGTCACTGTGATATGTAAAATGTTTTGTATGTCTAAGTAACTTTTGTCTTTAAGTATCAGGGAATACACTTAGTCTATCAATCATTACTCCTATAGCAGTTCTTATTAGACACAGCTGAAGAAGACTTCCCAGTCCCCGGAGAGGTTTTTACAGTGTCTCGAACATGTTATTTGCACATCAAGAATGTATCTATCACTTCAGCGCTATATAATGCGTGTTGCTGTCCTCGACCGTTTCGATGAGCTTTCAGAAACATTATCTGGGGCCATGTTGATAGCAAAGAGGTTTTTAAAATGACAGCGCCAAGCCGTGTTTTTGTGTGAGTTCTTGTCTTGTCCGGGATTGATATACTATTGGGCGTATTTAATTCTAAAACGGTTAACTGTTCATGAGGGAAGATTCAAATTTAATTATGCACCTTGAAAAAAGTTAAACACAACGTACGCCACATTTCCGTTCGGAATAACCATTTAAAAACAAATCATATCCTGTAATATTAATCCGTCAAATCACATTTGTTTTTGTTAACAGAGTGACATACTCATATTGGAGTTAAGGAATCAAGGAACAGAAATCAATTACCTATTTGGCGTCATACATGACTCCGATTTTATTGATGTGTTGTTTAACGCCGCACTAAAAAATATTCTGGCTGTATGACGGCGGTCTGTGAATTATCCAGTCTGGACTACACAATCCAGTGACTTTTTTGGGGAGAAACGATCCACACTGTCCATCTGTAGGCGAAGCAATCACCAACTTTACTGATATACTATCGACATACGTTAAAGTTACTAGGTAGGTATCGGTGGTATTTCGGTGGTATGTTAGACATTAATGAGACCCGTGAAGATCCGGGATGCTCATGTTGTTTTTTGTCTGGTCCAGACTCGATTATTTACAGATCGCCGTCATATAGTTGGAATATTGCTGAGTTCAGCGTAAAACAACAAACCAAACCAAACCAAACCCTTCTTATAAGCGCAGTTATACAAATCATCTTTAAATCTTTGTAAGATAAGTTCGAAATCTTCTTTTTTTTTCACCTTGTCCGAGGTCATATGTTTTTTCCAGTTCCCCAGACAAAAGAAATGTTAGTCTTTAATCAGCCATGTCATCTTGAAAATGGAACATTTCGAGTCATCAGCGACTCGTACAGTCATCGATTTGGGCGGGGATACGAGATAAATGTGTCTTCTCATTTTCCGCTTAATTAGCATCGGATACAAGGAACAAGCTTATTGGCCGTGTAATGAAATACTGGAAATAAATGTATACATTTTTTTTCCAAATGAAGATCCTCGTTAAAATAGGTTTTCAGCAACTCATGCTTGTCGTAAAAGGCGACTGACGGGTTTGGGTGGTCAGGCTCGTTGACTTGGTTGGTGCATGTCATTGTATCCCAATTGCGTGAATCGATGCTCATGATTATCAATCACCGAATTGTCTGGTCCAGACTCGATTATTTACAGAACGCCGACATATAGCGGAATATTGCTGAGTGCGGCGTTAAACAACAAACAAGCAAAAAACATACCTCCCTACAAACGATGCCTTTTTGTTATTTTGTGAAAATGTCGTTGAAAAGGGCTATCTCGTTTTCTATTTCCATTGTCATTATTCCATTTATCTTTTGTGAATATGTTATAACAAATATTAAAACCTGTTTTGAACATTGCAGTCCATATAAATCCACTCAAAGGTAATTCTAAGAGCAAAAATAGTAACACAATCACGCACGAATTTTCTGACATCTTGAGAAACAGCATCTTGAGAAACGCGAAGTCTGTTTCAATTTCTTTATGGGAACAAGGGAATTGGACTTCTCAGCACGAGTGGTTGGAATAGCTTCACATGGCTTTTAACACTGATTCATCTATAGCCCTCATTTTTTCTTTGACGATCCAATTTATTACATTACTGATTAAGAAAGAAAAGATTTGCAGTTGCGAATTAACAACACATATTCTGAATTAATATAATCTTAACTGGCGACATTTTGGTGCGCGAAGGGTTCTTGAAAATGCATTTGAAGGTATCAAATTAAAATTAACCAGCGGTTATTAATAGTCACGTGACGCTATGTCTTATATATTACTAAAGGCATTTTTTAACTTTTCATAATCAATTACAGTTATAGGCGTTTTGACCTTGATAATGTTTATTCAATATTGTCTACATGATAAAACCTTGCCGAGACCCCTGGTGATAAACTCCACTGGCATCTCTTGGTTTGCCCCATGATGCCTCTTCACGCCACATTTGACACAATAATAGTTTACGGACAAAACTGAAAGTTAGATGACACTACATATGAAATAATGAGGGATAACTATATAACAGGCACGCATTGTACGATTCTGACCAACGTGACCTTGGGTGAATTCGGGTGACCGTATGTACATTGCATTTGTCGAAATCCTCACAGGGATCCTAATTGAACCAATAATTCCTTCAAACTATCCATTAGTGCGCCTATTACAACGCCAACAGAGAGGGTATGGGGATCCGAGAGCGTTACCAATTTGAAACTAGTTCATACGGAAATAGTATCACACATTTACACGCTACTTGCTCACTAGATGAAATGTAGGTGAAACCTTTTGACAAATATAGGTTTGAAGGATGTTGTGAACGTATAAGGATGTTGTGAACGTATTTGCAATCTTATTAATATGTGCGGAACTTAAAAGAACAGAGAGACAAATTTACATACTAATAATGTAACCTTGTTAGTTTATACTTGAGAAGGAGTTTGAGTGTTCTTAACCCAGATAGGTGCAAAGCCAGCGTCGCCAATTTCTGGTTCCAAACGCCTACAGGGGGATTAAACTTTCTCACATAGGCCACTTGCTAATAAATCAATAATCTTTAAGATCCCTCAAATAGACTGGTTACAATTACGCATGCAGATCACAAGCCCTCCCTACTTTTGATCATAATCATTGTAAGTAGGGCGTAGACTTTGTATGACGTTCACGTAGATGGCTGAGATTGCTTGATTGATTAGCGTCTGTTTGGTTGATTGCAGCTACCCCAGAATGCCCCGCGACTGGGGGACAGCCCCTTCCGTCCAGCGAGTGCTGGTGTGCCTGTGTCTGTGTGCACTTCCTCTCACGTGTTTAGCACTTCCGCTTCCGGAAAGCCAGGGCAACCCACAGCTTGATAAACAGATGCAGCTAATGCGGATATTGTTTCGCCTTGGGGAGAGGGGATATACATCACCATATATATATAGTCACGGTGAGTATTCACATTCCTAGAAAAGGACGGACCATTTTGTTCCCATGAAGATTCCGGGTTGGAATTGGTCTTCAGCAACCCATGCTTGTCGTAAGAGGCGACTATGCTTGTCGTAAGAGGCGACTAACGGGATCGGGTGGTCAGGCTCGCTGACTTGGTTGATGCATGTTATCGTATCCCAATTGCGTGGATCGATGCACATGATGTCAATCACTGGATTGTCTGATCCAGACTCAATTATTTACAGACCGCCGCCATATAGCTGGAATATTGCTGAATTCAGCGTTTAACAACAAATTAAAAAAACCCGATCATTTTCATCATTTCTTCCAGATAATACTGGAAATGTATTTTTTGTCTCACTTTCAAAATAATAAATTGATTTCCTGTAAAAGAGGGTTATGACATTAATTTGTCCGGCTCCATGCAATGAAAGAAACAACGTTTTTAAAGCAGTGAGCGAAACATATTTATCCTGTCTCTAACACACCTTTGACCCAAACACAGAAGAATATAAATTAGAAACTTATTCACGTTCAGACCCGAATGTTATTTACCATTAAGATGCTCACTCTTACATAATATGAAGTGACATGATTACATAATAGATATCGCCCAGATGTATGCTTATGAAAACGTTTCCTTTGATTGAGGGGTCAAGGATAGACCACGTCTTTAAGGCGTCGCAATTCGTGTTGAGTTCATATGGTCATATGGTTCATAAGGATGTGAACTGTACACATGCATGTTTGCGTAATATATGCTCTCTAAATATAACTAATCATGATATATACTGTTTTAAGTTCTTTTATGAATGCATCATCATTCTGCTTTGATTTTTATAAACCATACATGAGATAATCTGTTGCTGTTTTTTGCAGCCTTATTATCGCCGAGTTCAGCGCTAAGAAGAAAACGATTTGGTGAGTATCTACCATATATACAGCTCTTAGTTACCTTACATAAATGTATTTAAAGCCAAATACAGGATACATTTAAGAAGGCCCTGACTAGTGTCACACAGTTCAAAAGAGGTACGCCCTTGGTAAGATCATATTTGGATTATCATATTTCCGGAGTAACAAATCATTGGTGCAGCGTTCGTTCCCTATATATTGCGATCCGACAAGGATTGGTCGGTAAGACGGGTTTCCAGATCAACGGAGTCTTGGTTAATATCATATGCAATATCATATGCGATACCATACATATGACACGTGGCAAGAATCATGACCATTGATGCAAACGCTGGCAATTACATCACCTGGATGCTCTAGTTCTCGAAGAAACACCTGGGCCACGACTATCTTAAGTCTATGTTAAAGTATGGGAGTTACGATCGTCTTAACGCTGCGATCGCTTTGTGGAACGGGGCCCTGGCCTGTAGACTAGCCTACTGACGTTAATTTATTATTTTTATTATCATCGTGTAGCTCTTTTAAAACACGCGAACGATTGTTTGCATGGTGTCAAATACTTTTTTGGTTTTGTCCGGATATTAGATCAATAAATATCTACACCTTCCGGATTTAAGGTAAGGGTTATCGTTCAATTAACTATGTCGTCATACATGTTGACAAGTTTTCTGTCATGGACCTTCCTTAAAAAAGGAAGAATTTCCTGACAACATGAAACACATGAACTGTTACATTTTTTTAGAAGTTAAAGTTTGAAATCAATAGTACGTATGTGTTAACACAAGACGTTTTGCAATATTGGAAATCCAAGTTGTGGAATGTGGTTGTGGTCTTCAGCGCACAAACATAACATGTTATTGTGAGTGAAACAAAATCGACTTAAACAGTCCATATGCATTACTGTAACAGTTTAAAGGTAAAATACCAACCTAAAATTTATCTCAGGATATTTAAAGTGGCAGCTGTGGTTGAGAAATTTAGAAGATATGTTCCCAATATAATATACATGAGGCTATTATACATTTGGCTTATAGTATATTAGGTGGCCTATACGTGTCGTATACTTTTGGCAGAAATTCTGCATTGATCCCCGGAATGTGATGCGCTCCAACTCAAACGTTGTTTGATCAGGGTTACAATATTCAAGGCCTTAGTCAAGCTTTAAAAGTTGTTTGTGATAGACACGTGAAGGACATTTCCAAAGTTGACCCATCACTGACCAAAATGATGTCTGAGGCAATTCTTTCCTATTTATCTTGTACCAAATGTGAACAATTGACTTGCCTTAGCATGTGTTTGTAACGGGTGCCACCTGGTGGGCAGGATATGCTCGTCTTTTCGAAAACACCTGGCATCATCGCTGTTTTATAGTGATTAATAAATACATACTTATGACATAGTTAGAAACGTACAATGGACTTTTAGCAGATATTTGGAAATGGTTTTGTCACTTTTATTTTAGGTATAATATTAAAATAATATTTGGCAAATTTCGATAGACATGTTGAGAAAGTTTCCATGTAAAAATTGTTCAGATTTTTCAGATTTTCTTAATATTGGTACTTGGAGTTAATAATTGAGAGAATCTAGGTATGGATGTCAGATTTCAACTCGTTTGAAAGGTTTTGGTGTCGCTTCTACCTCCCTCAGTGTAGAGTTTCGATTGTCAAGGCGACGGAATGTCCTCGCGATGAACCATTCACCTCTCATTACGAAAAACAAGTTTCTCTTTCCAATATGGGTACAGTTGTGATGATTATTCTTTCTCTGGGTCGCTGTTATTCCGTGATGTTACAAAAGCGGGTAAAACCACACCCACTCCCCCAAACCTCGTCAGTTGCTATAAACAGATTTGCCTTTGATTTCATTCGTTAGATCTCGATATTCATCCATCTGTAGGGGCACGGGTGGCCCAGTCGTCTAAGGCGCCGCGATTCGCTGTGCAGAGTTGCGTCCCTTGGGCACGCCAGAAACCTATGATTATGGGTTCGAATCCCGGTTCGAATCCCGGTTCGCCCCGATTATGTTTCTAGGTTTGTCAGCACCATACCCGTGCTCGTGGGTTTCACCGAAGTGGTTAACGTCTAAGACCTGCATCACTTCGGGCTTTCGTCCCACATTAAGCTGACACGCCGCGATATAACTGGAATACTGTTAAAAGCGGCGTTAAACCAAACTCACTCACTCACATCCATGTGTAGCATTTGAAGCACACTGGTGTGAACTTTGGGTACTCTGGTAACACTGATGTACGAGGTGAGGGTAGTCCTTCTCAACAACACCATCTCGCCACAGACATACACACTTGACGTACAGATACACTGGTAGCTGTCGTGGTTGAGTGTGCTTGTCAAGAGTGAGTGTGAGGAAAACAGGCTGTAGATACAATGAATATGACATTCGACATTCAAACTTAATCTTCCCTGGATGTCTTTGTCGATCTTGTCTTCTTGTCCTACGGTTGAGCCATGCGCACCTGCGTCTCAACGTGCGTGTTTTTCAGATATTGTAGTAAACTTGCAGATCATGTTGAACTTGAATGACGTCATTTTTCAAAGTGAACAGCCTGCGATGTTCTATGTTACTGGACAGAAACCTCTGGCTCCACTTTAGACTTAATGGGGGCACGGGTGGCCCAGTCGTCTAAGGCGCCGCGATTCGCTGTGCAGAGTTGCGTCCCTTGGGCACGCCAGAAACCTATGATTGTGGGTTCGAATCCCGGTTCGTCCCGATTATGTTTCTAGGTTTGTCAGCACCATACCCGTGCTCGTGGGTTTCACCGAAGTGGTTAACGTCTGAGACCTGCATCACTTCGGGCTTTCCTGCCACATTAAGCTGACACGCCGTGATATAACTGGAATACTGTTGAAAGCGGCGTTAAACCCAACTCACTCACTCACTCACTCACTCACTCACTTTAGACTTCATATTTGCATCGAGGTATATATAATCTGCAAGTAGTATTTTGTATCATGGAAGAGGCAACAAATATTTGGTTTCCGGGTTAGAATTGGTCCCCAGCGACATTTGCTTGCCTGAAAGAGGCGACTTTAGGAAACGTGTGGTCAGGCTCGGTGACTTGACACGTGTAACCCGGCAGTGGGGATCGTTGCTGACAATATCAATTCCTGCTTTGTTCGGCCGGACACGATTTTTTATTGCTTAGGGCGGCGTTAGACAACAAAGTAATAAATCTCACATTTGGATGCACGAATCAAGACCCGTTTCAAAAACTATGCTACCCAACAGCTCGATCTCTGATCAACAGCTCTTTGGAACATCAGGTTGTTGTTCGCAGATGGAAGTCGATATTTCAAGGCTCTCTAAATCCCCAGTAAAGTAGAATTGTAGCCTTTTTGTCCTTAGGTAAAAAAAATTCTATTTTTAATAACGGCATATCCTTTTTGTACTTTTGGTGTTAATTCTTCTACAAAAGCCAAGCGATTCACCGTCTAACAATGGTGTCCTTGAAATTATTGAAGAGTGCGTGAGAGAGGTTTTACGCCGCTTGTAGGACATTCCATCAAAGTCACCGCAGGGGACATTAATAATGGGTGTCACACAATATCCACGAATCGAACCCATCATTTCGGCGTGAAGATCGAACGCTTTCACCACTGGGCTACCCTACCGCCCCAAAACCACGACAAGAAAGCCGTTCACAATAATATTTGCAGCGTGCCTCGATTGTGTTCCAGAGATACTGATCAATAAATGGAATGTACTTGTTGTTTTGGAAGGATAAATCTAACATTTAAAAACGATTCTTTAAAAAAAAACAGGAATCACAAATTTTAAAACTGGCTTTGAAAATGTTTTAACCTAAAGGTTCCTGTCTTATTTCAATGACAATCGAATATGATCTCACCAACAGTTTAGGAACAAGTTGTCTTCCTATTCTGTTGAATTAATCCTGGGAATACAAGATGGAAAAGAAATCTCAGATTCGTAAAGCTCCTTGATGTTTCAAGTGTATGCTAAGCGTATACTGTACAGCGGAAGGTCTTTGCATTGCCTACACGACAGATTAACCGACAAGCTATCTGCCATCTGCCGTCTGCCGTATCGGTGTATAAATGACTTGTTCTCTGTGGTTTATTTCAATGTATATTGCATTCGTAGCTTTGTAACTTAACCGGAATATTACCCATTATAAGATACAAGAGTGTGTTCAATATTAAAGGCCAAAGGGTTAGAACGTGAAGTATATTTCTAAACATGATATATCTGATTCTGGTTGGGTTGATTTACTTGTAGAACAGAACTTAATTATTTCTCTCAAGACAATATGCTCGACGTCTGCAGCGCAGCTCTTGGGTGTCCGCTATTCCGTGATACATACATTCTACTTTCGGGAAATAAAATAATAATAATTAAACTACTTGTTTGGCATCGCAGTTATCCATCGTATATAGATCTAAAACATGCCGTGAAGATTCCGGGTCTTCAGCAACCCGTGCTTGTCGTAAGAGGCGACTAACGGAATCGGGTGGTCAGGCTCGCTGACTTGGTTGATGCATGTCATCGTATTCCATTTGCGTAGATCTATGCTCATGATGTCAATCACCAGATTGTCTTGTCCAGATTCGGATATTTACAGACCGCTGTCATATAGCTTGAATACCTCTGCTTGTGGCGTTAAACAACAAACAAACACTAAAGATTAAAAAATTATGAGCAGATAGAAAACATGAAAAAAAACAATATTTGTAAACATGTAATCGGAACAATTGTAAACGTAAAACAGTAAATACAAAACGCCTATGCAGGAGAACAACCAGTCTACATTATCCTCAAACATCATATACCTAATTTTGTAACGTTGGTAATTTGGTTCTCGTTGGGTTCTTATGCATGTAATAGAAACAGTAAGCGAGTGAGTATGGTTTTACGCCGCTTTTAGCAATATTACAGGAACATCACGGCGGGGGACACCTGAAATGGACTTCACACATTGTACCCATGTGAGGAATTGAACCCGGGCCTTCGGCGTGGCGAGCGAACACTTTAACCACTAGGCTACCCAAAAGCCCCCTGTAATAGCAACCGAATACATCAGAACAGTATCTTTCAAGCCAATATTGTCGGCATATCTGGTGGTAGCACAGCACATGCATGTACAATAGACGAGAGTCAAGGTCAGCCAGTACAACGGATTGTCCCAGAACACGACACATTGAGGTTACCAATGCTGGAGTGAGTGAGTGAGTGAGTGAGTGAATGAGCGAGTTATGTTTAACTTCGTTAACGCCGCACTCAGCAATATTGCAGATATATGACGGCGGTCTTTAAATAATCGAGTCTGGACCAGAAAATCCAGTGATTGATATCATGTGCATCGATTCACGCGATTGGGATCGATGACATGCATCAACCAAGTCAGCGAGCCTGACCACCCGATCCCATTAGTCGCATCTTACGACAGGCATAGTCACCTTTTACGGCAAGCATGGTTGCTGAAGACCTATTCTACCCCGGATCTTCATGGGTCCAAATTAATAAAGGGTTCGTTATACCTATTCGATAGAAACCTTCTCAAGTCTTTTATCCGAAAAAACATACAATTCCAAAACGTAATACGTTGAACAAAGCGTAGTTTGAAGACATAACAATTTAACAGAGTGCCTAATAAACACCATTTCCAATCTTTTCAAATGAAATCTATTCGCTGTAAACATATGTCCCTTGCAAGAAGTTAACCTGGCTTAAATTATTGGTTGGCCAAAGTAAAACTATGTGCATGTTGGGAGAATGCGACTTTTATAGCTTTGAAGACTCAACCAATGAAATACAGCCATCAGCTGATGCTTTGCACATAATTGTTGTTTACTGGTAAATTACAAGAAGATGTTTTCAAACTCCATTTGTGACGGTTATGAAAACCAGTTGTTGGCACATCTGTTTGATTGAACTCGCAATCACCATTCACGTGATGAAGGGACAAGAAGTAGCCGTGAAACGTTGTTGAAATCACTAAAAGGTGTTATCCATAAAAGTCCAATGCCTACATCAGTGACCGTTGACACTTTCTCATGGTGAGGCTCTCGGCTCGCGATGTGCTTTGTGTTGGAATAGTGTGGCGACATCTAGCAGGACTGAACCGTATACGCCACTGCACGGAGAAGTGGGTAACTTATGCGACTAGTGATCTAACTGAGTTAGCTCATATACCCAAACCCCGTAGAATTACAGTTTTAAAATACGTGACAGTCTCAGACAGATCACCAACACGTGTCATTTGATGTGTGTGTTCTATTTTGTTTTATTTTAAAAAACTGGAATAAACGAAGTTAGATGAAACCTAATTGACAGACGAAAGGGGTGTTTTTTTCTGGGACAAAATCTAGGCGGAGAAAACCCTACATTGCCAGACATAATGGTTGTTCCAGTTATATGAGGGTGGCAATGGTATCGAATGCTACCTCCCGTGAGAGACAAAAGAAACTTTAACTGTTATGAATAAAAATTGATTCAATTAAATCTTAATCTTAGACAATCTGTGTCTCATAAGTGTTGTAGGCCTTTTCTTTGAAGCTAAAAAGTATCAAATCAGCTGAACGATATTTTGATTCCATTAAAATCGTAGTAAGTGAGTCAGTTGTGTTTAACACCGCTTTTAACAGTATTCCAGTTATATCACGGCGTGTCAGCTGAATGTGGGAGGAAAGCCCGAAGTGATGCAGGTTTCAGACGTTTACCACTTCGGTGAGACTCACGAGCACGGGTATGGTGCTGACAAACCTAGAAACATAATCGGGGCGAACCGGGATTCGAACCCACAATCATAGGTATCTTTAAAAATTATAATGGGAAAGGCATAGACTGTATGAGTTACAATATAAGGGACACAACTCTTTCCATAATCATAGAATAATATGCAGATAGTTTGTAGATATAGTCACGAGCAGTGGATATGACATCAAAATGATCCAATGATCACTCTTAATTTATACATTAAGGAATATTTGTTGCTAATGCAGGCGTAATTATCTATGGTGCAACCGATTGTTGAACTAAAACACAGTATGGGATTGCAACACACGGCCACAATGTTTACGTCACATTATCACTCAAACGCTCCAGCCACTGTGTCACTGAAACACTAAAGCCCGTAGAAGCACTAATACGGTATAGGACATTGTCACTGTAACTCTATACATCATAACAGCATTAAAACACTACAGACCACTGCAGAACAAAACCACTACAGGCCACATCAGCTCTGAAACACTACCGGCCACAGAAGCACTAAAACACTACAGGCCACCGCAGCATTAAACGCTACAGGCCACTGCAGCACTAAACCACTACAGGCCACATTAGCTCTAAAACACTACCGGCCACAGTAGCACTAAAACACTACAGGCCACAGCAGCACTGAAATAATTTTGTCCACACTAGCTCTTAAACACTACAGGCCACAGCAGCACTGAAATAATTTAGGTCACAGCAGCACTAAACTACTTTCGGCCACAGCAGCTTTAAACTACGTGGTCCACGTCAGCTCTAAAATGCTATAGAAAACTGAATAACTGTAGTACAATAGAACACGGCAGGTCTCAAACACTATAGACCACAGCAGCACTAAAAAGTACAGGCAACTGCTGCACTAAAACACTTCCGGATAGAGCAGCACGAACATAATGTAGGCAGCTGAGGCACCATAGCACTGACTGCCACTGATTGTAAGACACAAGAACACTGTAAGACACTGTTACACTAGAACATTGTTAGATATTATTCAGACACTGGAACAATGTTATTATAAGACACGTCGACACTTAACGACCCGTGAAGATCCGGGGTAGAATAGATCTTCAACAACCCGTGCTTGCCGTAAAAGGCGACTATGCTTGTCGAAAAGGCGACTGACAGGATCGGATGGTCAGGCTCGCTGACTTGGTTGATGCATGTCATTGATCCCAACGGCGTGGATCGATGTTCATGACGACAATGACTGGATTGTCTGGTCCAGACTCCATTATTAACAGACCGCCGTCATATAGCTGGAATATTGCTGAGTGCGGCGTATAACAACAAACAAACAAACACTACAAGACACTCATTGTGATTCTCTGTTGCAGGTATTGCGGGGTTGGACAATGTTAACTTCATAACGAGCACTCTGGATCAGCTCCGGGCAAGAGAGAAACCTCCTATACTGCGGCCTCGAGTCACAATGGAACAATTACAGGAAATGATGAACGCAGGCCGCTAGGTCGCGCTGGAATTGCCGGATGTTCCTGCGACTTGAAAAAAAACAGTGTGATGTTAACGAACAGTATTGAATAGGAACATGTCCCGAAGAGCAGCTCTACGCTAAATTGTGAACCGACTGGATGAGTGAGAGAACCTGTTTGTCCATACTTCCGTGAAGTGAAGGGTGTTTCCACTCCAAGCGTGCAATATTTGGGGTACAGCAGTGTCCCTCTGAAGGCTCCTCAGCTACCATTCTGCATATTGAACTGGGACCCCTTCAATTCTACTGTCAAGAAAACTGATTTTGAGTTGTACCTGAGTTGGATAGTGATCAAAATTTGGTAACCGAATTACGATAAAATATGACATATTTCTTTACGTTTGGGCCAAGGGAGTAGAGTAGGCCATTTGAAAGTGGCAGTTTGGCTAGTGTTGTCGAAAAACATTGTCAGTAAATGTTAATATCTGTGTGTAGTCGCCTATTGTTTCGCTCTTGATTGTGATGATTTTGTTGTTTTGTAAATGTTTTCCGATAAGACAATTTTGCTTCATGATACTCACAGAGTAGTAGGTTATTAACAATTCCTCTTTAAAACTCCACTGCCAATGGTAAGTTGGTGAACGATTCTGGCGTGCTGACTGGACAAGCAACCTTGTTGGATACGAAACTTAGAATAAAAACAATAAGCATTGTCCTTGACCCCTTGTGTGCTTATATGTCCAGGCAGGGTTTGGCGAGAAACTATTGTATTCCACCTATGACGTTGCCCAGATATGACGTCAGTCAGCATGACGTCAAAAGGATATATTGCAGAGTAAATATTAAGTACAAAGCTTAATTATTTAGTTAAACTTCGAAAGTATTATAAGCCTATATTTTATCATATCGGGTGCTATTACAACAATATAATTTAGATTTAGTTTAATAATTTAAAAATGATATCTTTCTCATAATAGACTCCATATTTGGTGTAGATCAGTTGACATGATACCACATTTTGCCGATATTTCCTGATTATAGAATTGTTTAACCTTCCTTGTGTGTTGACATTAAAGTGGAGAGAGACTATCACAGTCTTCATGTTTCAATTGTTGTTAGACTACCCAGAAACTACCCACGAATGACTACCTGTACATTCCAATGAACCATTGATTCTGTTCTTTTACCATGAACAACTACCTGCGAACCACTTCCCATACACTGTTTAAGAACCACTACCCCTGACCTACACACCAATCACTGAGCATGAACCACTATCCATGGACTGCAAACGGCCTACTATCCATACACTCACGAAGCACTATCCATACAACTCAGGAGCCAATATCAAGACACTATTGACGAACTACTACCCTTACACTACCCATGAACCACCAATGCACTAATGCCCGGAGACTGAAAAGTCGGTGGTTCGATTCCCTGACCGCGACAGACCAAAATACGTTAAAGGATGGTACTTGTTGTTACCCTGCCTGCGAACTGATTGTTCAGCTAGAACACACTGTGTGATTCAAACACTAAGCCACAATGAAATGGACACATTATCATTCAAATGCTTTACACCATTATGTCACTAAAACACTTAAAGATCACTGCAGCACTAAAACGTTATAGGCCATTGTCACTGCAACCTGGCTGGCACTCGATGTTAAGGGGATGTAAGGATGAAAGGTCGTATACTGTGTCTGAGTGGGTTATACATGTTAACCTTCGGCGTGGTATCTCAGTAGGCAAGCACTATAAAACCGGCATGAAGCCCAGACAACGACAAGCAGCGACCCACTTGTGCATGTACGTTGCTTTGTGGTGCAATAACCTTAACCGTGACGTTAAACGCCATTTCACTACCCACACATCAACTACGAACGACAACCCATACACCACCCACGAAGTACTATCCTTACACTAGACCGCCTCCGTTGTCTAGTGGTAGAGCGTCCGCCCGGAGAGCGGAAGGTCCGGGGTTCGATCCCCGGCCACGTCATACCAAAAGACGTTAAAAGATGGTACTTGTGGTTACCCTGTCTGGCGCTCGGCATTAAGGGGCTAAAACAAGGACTGGTCGGCTCGGAGTCAGTATACTGTGTCTGAGTGGGGTGTTCATGTTAAACTGTGGCATGGTATCTCAGTAAGCTAGCACTATAAATCGGCATCAGTCCGGACTAGTACAAGCAGCCACACAAACACAAACACACACACGTACATGCATGTCGCTATATAAGTGCAATAATCTTGGACGCGACGTTAAACCCCATTTCACCTCACCTCACTTCACCCACCTCGCCTATCCTTACACTAGCCAAGAGCCACGCTCCTACTCATCACACGAACCATTATCCACACACTTGCTACTAACCACTAGCCATACACTTTTCAAGAACCACTATCCATACTCTAACAAAGAACCACTATCCATATGGTAACCAAGAACCACAATCAAAACACTTTCCACGAAGTACTGTCCATACACTACCCATGACGATGAGTTTAACAGTATATATTTTGGCATTAAGCGTGTCCCTTGTCACTTGATCACCGAATGGAACGGCAAATCCAGTGTTGATTCTTTAACAAGCCATTAATGACTTAACGTCGACCAATGGACATATTGCAATGCTTCGACAGATCGATCAATCTTTAAGCTCATAATCACTACCGAAAGACGTCCATTCATCACGTCATATCCAGACACAGTATCAGGTGATATGAGTGAATTTAGTTTGATGCCGTATAGAACAGTAATTCAGTTATATATATATATATATATATGTGTGTGTAGGGGTGTGGGGGATGGTGGGGGGTGGGGGGTGTGTGTGGGGGGGGAGGGGGGGGGGGGGGGTATAAACCCCAAAGGCACGAAATGACGCGGGGGGACAAATACTAGACTCATTGTATTCCACTGCTGAGAGAGAAAGTTACTATGCTGAGAACGGTCGCCGAAACTAAAAAAAACGTATATTTAAAAAACGTACCAACTACATGTATGACACCACATCAAATACATTTAATAAGCATTTTAGCCACCATCAAACATGGGTGTATACGTTTTTTGGCCCGGCTGATTATTTACTGATTGCAGAGGTGTTCAGATGGGTAGATGGATGGATGTTTGGACTGGTATTTTGATGTGTGTGTTCAGTGGCCGATGGATGGATGTGTGGACTGGTATTTTGATGTGTGTGTTGAGTGGCCGATGGATGGAGGTGTGGACTGGTATTTTGATGTGTGTGTTGAGTGGCCGATGGATGGATGTGTGGACTGGTATTTTGATGTGTGTGTTGAGTGGCCGATGGATGGATGTGTGGACTGGTATTTTGATGTGTGTGTTCAGTGGCCGATGGATGGATGTGTGGACTGGTATTTTGATGTGTGTGTTCAGTGGCCGATGGATGGATGTGTGGACTGGTATTTTGATGTGTGTGTTCAGTGGCCGATGGATGGATGTGTGGACTGGTATTTTGATGTGTGTGTTGAGTGGCCGATGGATGGAGGTGTGGACTGGTATTTTGATGTGTGTGTTGAGTGGCCGATGGATGGATGTGTGGACTGGTATTTTGATGTGTGTGTTGAGTGGCCGATGGATGGGTGTGTGGACTGGTATTTTGATGTGTGTGTTGAGTGGCCAAAGTAATTTGTAAGTAAGCTTCAACCCATCATTCAAAACATTGTTTTCATATTCATTTTCATTTAATCAATTGGATGTATAACTAATAAGCGGATAATATAAATCAATCTCCGAACTCCGAAAATAGTAAATCCTTAACCAAACTAGCTAAATTTGAATTATGATTGTGTTTGTTATATTTATGGAATATTGGTAAACGCAAACATATCCAGCTCTTTTAACGAAGACAATGAAGTCATAAAATGAGCCTGTTTAGAAATAATTGCATTTCTGACATTTAGACAGCTTCACATTATAGGCATGATTGACATGATGAATATAATGATACAATTTAGTCTTTATTCTCAGCAATATTACATTCGACGCCCCTTTGGAAGCATATGATGACTCAATTACGAAGTAAAACATATTGGTTACAATTAATGGTATATTTCCACAGATCGTATGTCTGTCCTTGTCTATTTGCTGCCAGAATGTTTATGGGATATTTGTATGTTTTCGTTTTTGTTTGGTTGTGTCTGAGTGTGTATGCACCAACGACCTTTACGTTTTTGATTATCTGACACTTTGACCATCAACAAAGACGATGTTATTGAGGCGACCATACCTTCCTATTTGACGAATATTAACGGATGTGAAATACATTTTCTCTCCACATTTTAAACGCAATTGCAGAGATTCTTTCAGATTTTGCAATTATTCATCTAGTGGTCATCAATTATTTACCCCGTATTAGTGGTCATCAATTATTTACCCCGTATTAGTGGTCATCAATTATTTACCCCGTATTCACACGGTGCCCACATAGTGGTATGATCACGTGTGGCCTAGTTTCCTAAGGGACCGCAAGTTGCTGTCCAAAGTTGTGTGTCCCTTTGGCATACGAAAGTTCTATGATCAAGTATTTGAAAAACAAATGTGTGTGTGTGTGTGTGTGTGTGTGTGTGTGTGTGTGTGTGTGTGTGTGTGTGTGTGTGTGTGTGTGTGTGTGTGTGTGTGTGTGTGTGTGTGTGTGTGTGTGTGTGTGTGTGTGTGTGTGTGTGTGTGTGTGTGTGTGTGTGTGTGTCAGGTTATGTTTTGCCTATCAATAGTTGAGTTATGTATGTTTTTTTCTGTGAACATTAATGGACGTACTGATATAAACTGTTATTTTCAGAAGACATGTGACTTAGTTATTTCAAAAGATTTAGGGAAACAGCCGGGGGCTTGATGACAGGTATCCTGATAGATCAAGCTCCAGGGGTATGTCTGTTTGGATAAGAACGTGTCGGTGTCAAGCTGGGAACCGCAGCATTCTTGTCATCAGGCTTTCAAACTGTCAATAGTTGTAAGTATCTTTAGACAACAAAATGTAAAACACTTTAACTATCAGTGTGGCGTTTTTAGCCAAAAGCCCCAGAGATATATAACAAAAATAATACTCGAAATCAGAGGAAAAAACAGACAAAGGAAATAAATGTTTTCATTTACTTTAGAAAATCACATGTGAAAAATCAATATTCAAATCTCGGTGTTTCAAAATAAACATAAAATGTATACTCAAATAAAAAGGTAACTGTGGTCATATGAATATAACTTCAGTTATAAATGTAAATCAATACTTGTGACGATTTTGGACAATATGACTAATATATTGTTACTTGTCCATTTCCAAATTGAAAAAATAACCCAGTAATCTGTACGCAAAACATTCATTGTGAAACCAACAAACAATACAGAAATGGTATACCATTAACAAATGTAATATAAAATGAACTCGGTTAACAAATCAATACAAATTTCAGCACAGGAATTATAATGGCAGTACGCAATAGTGTGGCAGTACAAAAGTCTCTGTCAGTACAAATACTGTGGCAGTTTAAAATATAACAGCAGTGGCAATGATAATTACCTTGCAACAACACTGGTCAAGCTTAAAAAATAGGACTAGGCTGGATATCTAGGGTGAAAAGTGATCTTGACACATCCGTTGTCTTGATGTAATGTGAGATGAAATGTGAGATAAGATAGGCACGCTTCCACTTATATATATAGTCTAAATATCACCCAGAAACTTCTATACAGTGTTGGACGAGTCTAGCTGTACAAGAACATTCCAGATGATTCTACATTACATTTGACCCCATAAGCTCCTAAATTCAATAACTTCCACACCGCTGCGTTAATTAAATAGTACTACATTCCTGACAACTAATTAGTGTCGAAACACATTGCATTGCCCTAATTAGTCTCAACAGAAACAATGTAATATAATAACAACATTGTTTAACAATAAATTACACTGCCACATAACAATATTGATAAAATTGTACACAACAAATCACTTGTCAATGAATGTCACATCGCAAATTTACTATCTCTTTCACAAAGATGTGCATATTTAATCGTGATAATAAATAATAAGACTCATCCCCACGATTCGTTTATTGCAACAACTTTGAAA